CCAGTGTAATACATCTGTTTACACTGGACTTGGTTTTTGTTATGGATCTCTCTAAGTGATATTTTACATGAAAACATTATATACAGGTGAATAAGCCTAATTAACTCACTGCACAAACTTTCCATCACGACAGATTTTAAATCTCTTTAGTGAAACTGACGTATTGTGCATAAATGCCAAGATTGACAGAAGGGTGCTCTCTAACCTGTAGAATGTGAAAAACATGTTACTTTTAGTTTGTGTTTCCTCTTTTTATAATCAGACATTTACAGAAAGCCGAGTGTGATTTATTCTTTTCTTCTTAATGAATTGTTAAGAAGTGTTTGAAAAGGCATTAAATCTTCCCTTCTGCCATGAATCTGTAAAAGGGGAAGAGGATTTTAAATGGCCTCACGGTATATTGCTTTATAAAACTGCTGATTCTAGCAGTGCCAGAATAGGACTACATACTTTAATGTAGGAAACACTGAATGCAGTCAGTGAGCCTTCTGCATTTATGGAGGAAAAGACTAATAGCTACATTTGAACAAGGCTCTTAACACTTGGGCCATCAGCAGGCATTGAGTGAGTGAAATTGGGAAAACTCCTATGAGCTAAAAGCATCTAAGTTCAGCATTCTTCCCTCAGTTTGAGTCTTCCTGATAGGATTTCACACTCCAGCCAACTCGAGCTGCCATCTTGAAAACAAACCAAGTAGAGAACTGATGTTTTCACTGAGCGCATTAATGCTTCACTTCTGAAATGACACTAGAGCATGATAAATGCACCGACGTCCCTGTTGGATATTCAGCTTTACAACAGTGTTAGGGAAAGCTTCTAGATTTGTGTTGTGAGTGAAAGCAAAGGTTGTTTATATCACCTTTTTTACTGTAGAAAACTTAACAGATGATAAACAGATCTGGAACTAGTATGTAAACTCATTCTTTCCTTTGAATAATGTGTGCATTACTCAGCAATATTAAAATGCTTTTATTTAATCAGGTTTATCTCCTGATTTTACTGAATTACAGGTGGGAGACTAACCAAAAAAGTTTACAGTATCCCTGCTGGCCTACTGCCAAGGGAACCGCACTGAGGAAGGTACCTGTTCTAAACAGTCCTTTGATATGGAACCCTTTCTTGTTAGCAGTGATAAGATTAAGTATGGGATTTGTGGATTCTCTGAGCCTCTGCCTTTCTTTTGTTGATTTTGGCACCCTGCAGCATCATTTGTTCTCTGATTATCATTTTGAGATGCATTGTCAGTAACCAGGGTGTATAATTGATCTTCATCTCTAATTACTCTTCTCTCCACAGGTGCCTGGAAAAGGTCCAGATGGGAGTTCACACAATCTCCACTTTGAAGGGATGGAAAGGCAATATGCATCCTTACCCAGGTACATCATTGAGGCTTCCTCATGCACTGATTTTATCTGCATAGAACAGCCGTCTGGCTCTGAAATGAGAGATTATGTTGCAGTTTTGTCTCGCTGCCTTCTGCTGATGATTTAGTGCCATCTTTATAACTGTATTAATAATTTAGACAGTTGATTTAAAAAAAAATAAAGTCGTTCTCATTGAACATGTCAGCAAGAGTCATGATCCACAGGGGAAGAACATGACATTGAGGAAGCTTAGTGTGCTAGAGTTATAGCAGGTCTTAGCAGGGCATAACTGTGACAAAGTTTATAGTGCTAAAATCATAGCTGGCAATGACAGAGCATTGCTGTGAGGCGTTTGCACTGCAGCAGTGACAGCTCCTACAGTCCCACCATTGCTGGAAGGAAAATTTGACTAGCAATCCTGTTCCAGTATGGTAACTATATACTGTAATTCAACCCTATTGGAAATGAGAGAGAATTCTTAGGGTTTGGGGGGCTTTTTTATGAATAATTTTAGTCTGGAATCAGCAGGGCATGACAAAGAGGACACCTTTCAAAGATTACACTCCAGATTCTGTGGGAGTTATAATAGCAGAGTGTGAGAATTAGCAAGCTAGAAAAAGAAATGAAGAAAGGTTAGAGCAGTGGGGAGAAAATGAAAATAGAGAATATTTATCCTCCAAGCATGCTAAGCAAGAAAGTGGCTCTTAGGTAGAGATGTGGAAGAGCAAGTTTTCCTAAATGAGGGTGAGACAATCAACTAGTGCCACATTTCCTGGGGACCCCAAAGGGCATGGCACATCGGTGCTGGTATTTTTAGGAAATAAATGAATGTGCATTCTAGCTATATCTTTTCTTCTATTTTTTTCCATTTGACTGTTTGTTTCTAAATGTGTTATTGCAAAGGCTGATTGACCTTAATGTAATATGACTTACCACTATGAACTAGAATATAGAGAATAGCTCAATGCTTGAAAATAATGAGATCTCTCTAAGAAAAGCTGTTTCACAAACTTCAGCATTGTTGGACTTAAGTAAGAACTTTTTAATGCATGATGTGTTGTTTAAACCACAGAATGCATCTGTGGTTCAATGACTGCCTTTTATCAACTTGTATTGGTGGTTGTTTGCAGTGGTGGTCTAGTGATGTTGGTCCCAGGATATTAGACAGACAAGGTGGGTGAGTTAATATCTTTTATTGGACCAACTTCTGTTGGTGGAGGAATATGCTTTCAAGCTTCACAAAGCCTCAAAAGACCTGATGAAAAGTTCTTTGAAGCTTGAAACTGTGTCTCTTCCGTCAACAGAAGCCGGTCCAATAAAAGTCTCACCCACTTGTCTCTCATATACTGGGACCAACACTGCTGCAGCAACACAGCTTAACAGAGTGCTGTTTGATTCCCAGCAATTTTTTTTATATTTTTTCCTGTTCTCATTATCCATAATATATGTCCAATTCTTTTTTCTGAATCCTACTAAGTTCTTGTCCTCAGTTATCTTTTAGCAGCAAGTTCCACAGGTTAAATATATGTAGAGTTAAAAAAAATTGCCTTTTTATCAGTTTTAAAATTTACTGCCTTTCAGTTTTATTGATCATCCACTTGTTCTTGAATCACGAGAAAAACTTGAACAGTAATACCCAATATACCTTCTCTGCACCATTCATTGTTTTGCATTCCTCTTTCATGTCCTCTCTTATTCATCTGCTCTCCAAACTAAACAATCCTATTCTTTTCAATCTCTCTTAATATGGTAAAAAGAAGAACAGGAGTACTTGTGGCACCTTAGAGACTAACAAATTTATTAGAGCATAAGCTTTCGTGGACTACAGCCCACTTCTTCGGATGCATATAGAATGGAACATATATTGAGGAGATATATATACACACATACAGAGATACATATATATCTCCTCAATATATGTTCCATTCTATATGCATCCGAAGAAGTGGGCTGTAGTCCACGAAAGCTTATGCTCTAATAAATTTGTTAGTCTCTAAGGTGCCACAAGTACTCCTGTTCTTCTTTTTGCGGATACAGACTAACACGGCTGCTACTCTGAAACTTAATATGGTAGTCTTCCTATGCCTCTAATCACTTTAATTACCCATCTCTGAATTCCCTCTTATTTCAGCTATATCTTTTTTTGAGATAGGATGACCAGAACTGATCACAGTGTTCCAGATATGAGCATACCATTCTTTTATATGACATTAGACTGTTTTCACTACTATTTTCCATCCTGTTCTTTTTGCATCCTATGTCTTGTTTGCTTTTGTGAGTGCTGCTACATCCTTAGTAGGCAATTCCTGTGAGCTATTCACAATGACACCCAATTGTTTTTTTCCCAAGTAGTTCCATCTGATTCAACCCATTAATCTCCCCATGTTCTTCTCAAAAGCTCAATTTCGGCTAGTGGAAACTAGACTCGATACCCTAAATCTCGACAGGGCTTGGAGGGTTTAGCTGGATAGGACGGGGAATTTAGGAAGTTATCAAGACTTTCTATAGCCTTTGGGGATCCGTGTAAAGAGGGAGTCACTTCTGCTCAGTGCCTGCCTAAGAAGATTAGGCTGTACCATGAGTCACACTGTACTTTAGTTGGGGTGTCAGTATCTCATGGTTTTAGCATCCACGCTGTCAGGGTTCATGCAATATCAGTAGTTTGCCTCCATAGTGTTTCTATTATGGAGAGAGCAGAGCACTGGAGTGATGTGCTGTCGACTGCATGTGTTGTTCAGCAGACGGGCTGCTGTGTTATGAACCAATTCTAAAGAGCTCTTGTAAGTTTACTTCTCTGAAACCACCATAGTAATCAAGCCCAGAGCTCATAAATGAGTGGGTCACCGGGGCAAAGTCTGAATCCAGCAGAAGAGGCTGCAGTCTTCCTGGCAGCCACTAATGGAAATGCGGATTTTTTGCAGAGCTGGCCATTTGAATATCTGGAAGTACAGAGGAGTCCGGGTGAAAACCAAGGCCGAGAACTCTGGAAATCTGCCTTCAAATTATTAATAATCTATTTTACATGGAAAGCACTCGGATACTATGAGGAATGGGCAGCAGTACAAAACCTTAAGATAGATAGATGTCCTTATCAAGATGGCATGTTCTTCAATGTACTTCCCTCTCCCCATCGGTATCACCTCCTTCTTTCCGGGGCTCAGCTTTTCTTCATCCAGTTCTCCATCCTGTTCTTCATCCAGTTGTTGAACTCAGTCAAGCCATTGGACTCCTGTGGGAGGGTGCTGTTTCCGTCTGCTCTGGATGTGATGTATAGCTGAATGTCGTCCACACACTGCTGGCATTTTAGTCTATGCTGTTCACATTCTCCATTAGAGATCTCGCTCAGCTGCCCATCGCTGACTGCGGCCTGACTGGTCTGCAATAGGCTAGCGTTTTCCCCAAGCTCGTCATGGGAAGTACGATCAAACTGAGCATCTTGAACATTGTGGGAAATTTGTAAAAAATGTGGGTGGTCTGATCTAACGGTAAATTATCAAAATCCTTCTCACCTTCCTTTTATCAGCCAATCAATGCAAAAAGGTGTAATTGAATGTAAACAACTGGCTTTTAGGACTAGACAGGGGTGGCGGAATCAGGTTGCAGAGACCATTTCCTAACAAATTAAGCACATTTCTAATCTTACACAGTTTTATAAAAGTAAGTCTCTGTCACCAGCACGTGGGACTTACCTAAATTTGCCAAGCTTCAAAAGTCCCAGGGAGGAAGGGAGAACACTTCTGCAACAGAAAGGAGAGCATCCAGGCTTGGGCTGTGGCTGATTTCTCTTGGGAAAAAAATCAGCACAATAGCTGGAATAATGAGATGCCCATGCAATAAAACTGTTACTGCTACCTGGCAACAAGAAGGAGCCATGTTGGAGGGCATGAGAGATTGGAATGAACGAATGAATAGGAGAGCTTTGGCATCCCTCTGAAATGGGCAAGCGAGAACTAGGGTCATCATCACATTATTTTGAAAAATAAGCCGTACGTTCCCAGGGCGCCCGTTCAGCTCTGAAGGTGTGCGAGGCTACCTACAAAGAAGGCATGATTGTCACTGGTAGCATCATACCCAAGCTCTCCTGCTATATCTTTCATTAAAGTTCAAATCCCAGCTTTAAAACACCATGGCACTTTGCCCTATGGCCTTATGTTTTCATTTCCCTTCCCTGTGGGTGCTGAGAAGTTTAACCAAAGCACAATGGATCAGATTCTTAGCTGGTGTAAATCAATGTAGCTTCACTGGCTCATGACCTCTATTTTATAGCAGAATTAGAGAAAACGCGGTTCTGTACGTGTGCTTGCCTTGTCAACAAAAGAAGCAAAGAATTTAAAATATATGGAGGTAATCCTGCTCCTATTGAGCTCAGTGACAAAACCCTGCTGGTTTTGATGGGAGCAGGATCTGCTCTATGTAAGGTTATTTTTTAATTAAAAGTTGAAATACTTCTGTCTGTTTTTTTTTTTAAGTAGGCAACAGCCTTAAAGGAAGCTTTAATATGTGACTAGCTTAATCAGTAGCCAACTGAGTTACGTGGTCAAGTTTTTATCGAAGCTAGTATCAGATTATGGGCTTTATTTGAAAACATCTAGAGAGAGGCAAATGTTATCTACTGAGTTATTGGTGTGTTACTATGGCAGGCTAGTGGCAGGTCCCCGTCTCATACTGCACTGTGCTATATCATCTCCTGAAGGGAAGCAAAATGGTAAAGGCAGAACATAAAGCTTTGCAAGAAAGATACAGTTCTTGGCACTCAGTAGTTATGCAATGCCCCAGGGCTAAGGCTGAGTAGTGCTGAATGGTATTATTAAGCAATGTTAAATCCTCCCTCTTAGAAGGAAAAGGGCTTGATTCTTAGGCTCCTCGGGGTACTATTTGGGAAATAGGAGCATGGCTATAATATGAGGAGCTAGAAAAATATTTTTGGTCGTTTGTTTGTCTTCAGTAACCCATCTCTCTCTCTCACACACATTTGGTTAAACCAGTGGACAAATATGAACTTGAAGCTGGTT